GTTACTGGTTATCTTCAAGACTGTAGTTGATATGTAATGATTTGCATTTGTAGTGGAAAATAATCTCATCAAAATAAATCGTTCAATGAATATTCCACATTGACGCTTACCGGTGAGACTATAATTTATGGACAATCCTTGATTGAAGCCAGACTGACCTTGAGACTGTTCACTTAATAACTAGAACTAAATGACGGTTATAAACCACACTGGTTTTCATCATGAACTGGCATCAGCTATAATGCCGAAACGCTATTTAGCCGAAGAGATGAGTGAATTTCGCGCCAAAATCTGAGACCTGTTACCTTATACGTGATTGGTTAGTCCATAAACTATGGTCTCGCCCGCTTACCTTGTTAGTCTTACCTACTTACTTACGCCTTTTACTCCTCGTGGAGAAGCATAGGCTGCCCACCAAAACTCTTCATCCGACTTTGTCCTTGACAATCCTCTCCAGTTGTTTCCATTCGCTATTCATTATTTTCATGTCTGATTCCAATTCTTGACGTAATATGTTCTGCGGCCTTCCTCTTTTTTGATTTCCTTCAAAATTCCAAGTTAGTACTTACCCTGTGATGCAGTTTGATGATTTCCGTAAAGCATGTCCAACACATTTCTAACGTCTTTTCCTAATTTCCTACTCAGTTGGAAGCTAGTTTGTTCTCTGTTGCTGATGGTATCCAGTCAACTGACATTCAGTTTCTTGTGTAGACAAGCGTTTATAAATGCTTGCCTAGTTTTGATTATGTTTGTGGTTCTTCAGGTTTCAGCTCCATACAATAGGACTGTCTTAACGTTCGTACTGAAGATTTTGGACTTCGATGTTGGCTTAAAGATAGTTTTAAGTTATATATATTCTCTAACTGTATGAATGCTACCCTTACTTTGCCAGTCTTCGCCTTTATATCTGCACCCGATCCTCGTTGTTCATCGATGATGCTGACCAAGTACGTGAAGATTTCCGCCTCCTCCAGAGCTTCTCCATCAAATGTAAATGTGTTGATGTTCTCTAAATTGTATTTTATAATCTTGGTTTTCCCCTTTATATATGTTGAGGTCTACTCATGTAAAAGCTTCTAATGCACTGGTTATCTTGATCTAAATTTGTTGATGTGTATGATATAGAAAATCTAGGTCATCTACAATGTCCAACTTGTCGAATAACATCCAATCTGTCTATTGTATTGTGTACAAAAGGAAACTAACATATATAAGCTATGAATATACATTTACAATAGTTGTTTCCTCATTACTACTATTATTATTATACTTATCATGATTAATAAGGTCATTTTGAGTAGTATATATAGATTTATCTATCCTACCTTTCTATTTTCTATAAAACAGCATATAGTACATACTGTTGTTGTTGTTTGTTTTTCTTCCTCTGTATTATCATAAAGTGACCAGTACAGTAACATTCCGATAGAATAAATGATCTTGTTAACTATATCACATAAACAAAACATGGTTATTGTTGATCTATTTAGATTGTCAATAGAATAAATAACAAACAATTAACTAATGAATTGATCAGTGTTAAACAACCATTGAAAAGCTAAAAGAATAGGACGGTTATTTCATTCTAATATAGAACTTCTAAGCAGTGTGCATCCATGATCCTGCACTCGAGACTTGAATCGATGACCATTAGATTTGAGCGTGAATGCTGAACCTCTAAACTCTTGAGGTGGCATTCAACAGTGTTAATCTTTAACTTTAATCGATCCATGATGTGTAATAGTCTGTTTATTAATGGCTTACTCCAGAATATTGCTAGAGTTTTACTAAGCAGTCTTGGTTAATGGAGTTTAGGCATGTTGAGAGTGAAACAGTTATCAGCAGTAGCGTAAGTTGATTGCTACACTGTATAGTGCGTTGATTAAAGTATCCGCTTTATCGTTTTAGGCTGGGTAAATAGTTCTTGTAATCAACCATTCACCGTGAAGCCTCAGTCTACTGGATTCAATCTCTTCAAGGGATGAAAAAACTATCGACTATTCTCTTAGTTTAAGTTTAAATCATAATGAAATCCATCTATAATGAATACAACCTACAAAAGAAATGTGAATAATATAAGTTGAAGTCGATTTTAACAACATTGATTAACATGAATCTCAGGAATCGAACATAAGACTATACAGTTTACACAGAGACTCTATTACTTTTATCATTGTAAGTCATCTGACAAATTTCATGATTAAAACTATTATAAAACTTTCATACAGAATCTAGTTAATAATCGTTTATTCACAAATCTTCTATAGTCTCAATGTTGTATCTATTTAAGTCCTAATACGTCGAACTGAATGATCTTTAAGAAAGGGTGAATAGTGGCTAGCAGTAGAATTCAGGATGCGCACTTCGTCCTATTTTTTGGATTCGTCAACTGGATGTACCTGCATTTCAATGTTAATATTCATCCTGTGACTCGAACCCAGTATCGTTTGATTTAAATGCCATCCACTTAGCAACGAAGTCGGATGATCTTTAATTTCTAAGATATTTAAAATTTATAAATATAGTAAGATTTGAAGTGACCTACTTTTATCAAGAGAACGCAATGGGTTTAATGGAAACAAGTATTATTATAACCAATTGTACCAGTGATTGTTTTACTGTGATCGTTTGTTTAAGTGTGCTAAAGACAGCCATATTACTACTCCATTACACTCCATTCCTTTTCCGTGGACTGTGACCTTATACGCTTGTACTCTCGCCCACTTGTTCCGCTTGTATGCCTTTTAGCACGATCTCGGTATTCGTTCGATACCACGAGATCGCCAACGAAATAGATCTGGTTATTCTCCATCTTCGCCTTCTGGTTTCTCCGGTACGCGCTTTCTTGTAGTGGTGTTCATAGTCAATCGCGACTCGATACCACGCTACAACTGGTGAGCCCGACGTGATATGAACGCGCAACCTTCTGATCTGGAGTCGATACCACGCTACAGATTAAAGAACATAGAAGAATTTGAATAACTCTCAAAATGACAATTAGAAATTGATTACTTTCCCAAGATCGAGTCGATTTAAAATGTATGTGTCATATTGGCATAGTTTACTGGTACATGAGATTGCAAAACATTCAGTCATACTAAAGGTAATATCCGACTCTTATCATAGAATCTAACCATATCCCACTCTGGTTTTAAATGATAAAATAATGGATGTGTAACGACTGAAAATCTGATTTAACTTTTTGAGATTGATTGATGAGTCCACTAATTTGTACTTACATTCCTAATGTAAACGTGATACAGTCTGATTCAGTAATATTTTATGTGATCATAATGAAAAAAAGAAGCAACTCACTAGATGGTTAAAGGCCAAAGAACACACTAGCTCGGTAAATAGAAACAGATATGAAAAGGATGAATAACAATTGGAAAGAGCTAGAAAGGATTGCCTAGGACAGGGTTGGATGGAGAGTGCCGGTCGGCGGCCTATGCTCCACCACGAAGAGTAACAGGCCTATGTAAGTAAGTAAGTCACTAGATGATTAATACAAGAATAAAAATCAGAGATTGAAAAATCTGAGTTGACAATAAAAGTCAGATTATAGGACCAAATAAAGAATAAATACATTTAGTCCATTATGATCAGAAGGGATTTTTGTGGAGATTGTAGTAAGTTTAATAGTAGAGTTCATGAGTCAATTGAAGCCAAACCATCATAGAAAACCTGGAAGCATTAGATGCTTGTTTCGTCCTATCATGGGACTCCTCAGCAGTGCGTATTCACGATCCCACCAAGCGCGCTTAAAACCATTATGATTTATTTTTAAGCCTTTTCATTCCGTTTCTTCAGCCAGAAGTTTTTATCTGTCAGCAATAATCAGACTGACAGTCAATGACTTCATATGATAATCCCGAAATCTGCTTTGATTATCTATAATATATGCTTAGTTTAGTTACCCAGTGCATAATGAAAGGCGTTGCAAAACATGTCTTTACGTAATACTTAATTTTCAGTTGATGTATATAAAGTTAACATCAGCCCAAACGATTCACTGTTAACTTCCTGAACTGTTTTATTAGGTAACGCTAGATAATTTCTTACAAAGTGTATCGATCCTCTCTAAAGATTGCATATATCGTTTATCAATGAATGACGGTTAACATGAAGCTTGTATACAAACAGGGCATCTCAGTGATTGCTTGAAATAAAGTAGTTGCTGTTGTCTATATATGTGAAAGTTCTTTCATATTATTTAATGGATTGCGTAATTATTGCATAGTGTGACTATAACAATTTTAAACATCAGTATGAGGTTGTGAAGATTAAATTGAGATCACGAACCAATTGATGTTAGACCACCGTTGAAAACTTGGAAGCACTGGACGGCCGTTTCGTTCTACTGTAAGACTCATCAGTGGCAGTGCGCATCCACTATCCCGCTCACGGGATCCGAAAACAGGGCCTTCTGTCTCGCGCGCGAACGCTTAACCTCTAGATGCCTGGGCCGGCATCCAACAGTGTTAATGTCTAACCTCAACCAATCCACGAAGTTGCGTAACGATCTTCCATTGTACTGGGGTGGATACCTGTCTCTACCCGACATAAATGCGCTCTACTGATCATGACAATACCAAAGGCCCTGGGTTCGAATTCCGCGAGCAGGATCGTGGATGCGGACCACTGACGAGTTCCACAATAGGACGAAACGGCCGTACAGTGCTTCCAGGTTGTAAATGGTTGTATCAATTGGTTCATGATCCCAATCAAAAACAATTTTAATCTTGTGAACAATTCAAATGTGAGTAGTACTTTTCAGAACGATTGCCTTTTTTACATTTATTCCCCTAACTATGTTAGTCAACTATTGATATCCATCGACCCAATCTGATTTTTATCAAAGATCAAAACTTGGTTTGTTTATTATCGTATGTATATAAATGTAGTGTAATTTGTTTACAAACATACATACTATTACATACCTACATACATACATACATACATACATATCACACGTATAATTGGGATAGAAACACCACATATAACAGGCAATTGAAACGTATATTGTTCAGTAATGATCTGATCATGAAATGGATGGAATGTCGGTTTTCGATATGATAAATATACATTAGATTAGTCATATACTGTTACGTGTACACACACATTCACACCTACACACACACACACAACATATTTACATATATACGTATATGCATACACAAATAGACAGATCCTTTGAGAATCGTAGACTTAATGCCAACAGACTATATATATATATATATATATATATATATATGTACATTCATAGACTAACGTATACTTACCGAATTCATGGAAAATAAAAGTCATAGGAAGGACAATAACAACAACAACAACAACGACAGCAGCACCAACAACTAGAACAACAACAACAACTCGTTTACTGATTGGTCAGTTTGAGAGTAAGAAAAAAAAAGAAGAAGAAATTACGAAGAAGAATAAGAATAAGAATTGATTATAACCAATACCAATTGTGTATTTAACTCGTTTTATTCAATATAGTCAATATTGAATATATCAAATAAATAAACAATTATTTATTCATTTGACAAAATAAATCTACACATAGTAACAATCAAATTAAAGTCAACATTGTATACCATTGAACATTAAGAACATTGGGTGATCAGTTGTAAGTCAATAGTATAGTTTACAGAGTATTTTTTTCAACTTTTTTTTTTCTTATGAATAAATATGTTTAATATAATTGAAAGTTTGAACAGAGGGGATTGGGATTTGAATCCAAACGGATAAGATTGTGAATGTAAATTGTTGAAGAATCTTATTCTAGGACGAAACAACTAATTAATATTTCTAAATTGTCTATGGTGATGTAGTTTTTAATCGACTTATGAATTCAATTATTGAAATGATTACAATATTTATAAAATCTCTTTTCTGATTACTGTTAAAAACCTGGAAGTATTGGATGACCGTTTCATCCTAGTTTGGAATGACTCAACAGTGTGTATTCAAGATCGCACACATATGAGATTTGAATCAAGGACTTTCGGTCATGCACATTAAAGCTTAAATGACATTTAACAGTGTTACTATCTAACGTTTTTTGGTAAGAATTTTATTTTAAAGGATATGTATTCATTGGTTGTTATTAATAGCTTTAGTCTCCATTATTACGATATTATTAACTATAGATATAAGTTAATGGTTGATGTTCAGATTATATTTCCATGATGAAAGCTAAGACATATGCTTCTTTCTATCTAGAATCCATAAACTGCTAATATCCTGGCTATATTCTAGTGTACAACATAGCAGGTGTCTGAGCTATATGACTTAATTAAGATCATATTTGAAGTAATAGGTACTGGATACGATTATAAGTATTTGACATGAACAGTAAGATTGAAGTACATCTAACTAATAAATATCAAATAGGATGACAAATGTAACTAGAATTCCACTCGTACATACCTACTACATTTATTGTAGGTCTATGTAAAAACTTAAAACACGAGTGTTCTTTACAAAATTCTGACGACGAAAAGCGAATATCCAGAACTTTAACCGGGTTGGTGGACGTGTGGGATCCACCTAGAGGAGTTGGAAAACCATGATTCCAAACCAATGATGCACATGAGCCTGAGGGAACAAATGGCACATGAACCAATTGTTGGCAACTGGTTACCATGTAACTGCATCTCCTTACGTTGCTTCACTGCCTTGTCGATCAGACCTTCAGGTCGAAGGCTCCGGGTGTGGCCCCCTAAGAAAGCCACCTGCTTTGATTTGATCACCTGAGCAGTGTTTCAGCGCTCACACAAATCGAATGATTTGTGTGGTGCCTATATATTTGGTGCCTTCTTGTATCTAAGTTTATGTGTTTAAATAAAATAATAAAATAATAAATTAACAAAAGTATTTTAGACAGTGTTTAATTCAACATAAGTCATATGTCGAATAGGAAGACAATGGTGTACGGTGGCGCAACTTCGTGCAGTGGTTGAAGTTAGACATTAACACCGTCGGATGCCGGCTCAGTGGTCTAATGGTTAAACGCTCGCGCGCGAGACTGACAGGTCCCGGTTTCGAGTCTCGCGCGGGGCAGGATCGTGGGTGCACAATGCTGAAGAGTCCTATACTAGGGCGAAACGGCCATCCAGTGCTTCCAGGTTTCCCACGATGGTCTAGCTTCAATTACTGAGATTTCTGAAAATCTCCACAAAACCCCTTCTCATATGTAATCAATTAATTTAGGAGACTGAATGTAGTTTTCTTATGTTTTAAACAATTTTTCATTTAATCTTAAGAGATAATTGAATAATTCTGTACAGTTGATCTTAACTATTAGTATCTAAGTACATAATATTGATCGGGAAATTCACTCGAATTTAGTTACTGAGTAGTGATCGATGTAAAGTGAATTTACAGCTACAACGTCTTATACTAAGACGAAACCCAAATCCAATGGTTCTTGGTTTTCAGTTACATCCGATATATAAAATGAAGAAAGACTTCTGAAGGATTCTACCGATTTTAAAAAGCTAAAACTTTGAAAAATACCAAGGGATCTACAAGAATCAATTCGTTTTTCCTCTTTTTTACAGAATCAATATGAACAAATTTTTGAGTAAAAGACTTTAAGTAACAAATCTTTGATAATATGTGCTTAAAGTGAAACGGAGAAAGTTCCCTTTTCTTTCTATAAAATATGAAATCTGTTTTCTCTTTATTACAATTCAACACTTTGCAACTGATCTACTCCCGATATGATTTGCATAAACTAATACGAATGATAGGCTGACTAGAAATTACTCTGTGGTAACATCTCATACTGAGATTTCAAATCTCTTGAAAGGTACCAGATCTCCTAACCTTCTTATTTCTCTAATTCAAATATATCTTATTAATAATTGTTAACTATCTAGTGAATACATTTTAGGATTATACAGCTTTATCAGAAAATAAGACTAATCATTTCTTCCTTTTATTATTCTATTTATTTATTTAAACGCATAAATATCGGTACAAAGAGACACTAAATAGATGTACGCCACACTAGTCACTTGATTTTTATGTGCGCTATGATACTACCCGGTGCCCAGACCTAAGCAGGTGGTTTTCTTAGAGAACCATACCTGTAGCCTTTGACATGAAGGTCTGATCTATGGGACAGTGGAGCGACATAGAGAGATGCAGTCTCATGGTATCCAGTGAGCAACAAATTTTTCATACGCCATTTGTTTCTTTAAAATCCTGGAGCCCATGCACATCATTGGTTTGGAATCATGGTTTCCCAACTCCCCTAGTTGGACCCTCCGTATCCACCAAGTTGGTTAAAGCGCCGGACATTCACATGTCGTTTTTTCAATTTCGTAAACAACAACCCCTCCACCGAAAGAAGGCATTGATTAGGACTTCTTTGACAGAGTGAGAGCATTTCAAGAGGGAAAGCGAACTCTTTCCACTTTCATCCGTACCAGGGTATTTTGGAGACATATCATATTACGCTTTAACTGAACTCTTTTCTATTTTAACAATCCTAATCTGTAATACTAATTAAGGTTAACGTTAATTTGTCTCATTCAATTTCATATTTCTATTCATCAAGGTATATTGAACAATGAACACTCGCTTCTTCTTGCTCTTTTTTCTTTTCTCTAATAACCATAGAAAAGAAAAAAAATAAAAAAATAAATAAAAGAACATCATTTTTTTTCTTTTGAAAAAAGAAAAGAAAAGAAGTTCCCTTTTTTTTCTTTATTTTTATACAAAGGGGTGTGATTTCTATTTTCATTGTGAGTATATGATTCATCATTTACATTATTGTCAATGTAAATTACACCCAAAATCAAAGTGTTTTTTTTGTGAATGAGAGAGATTGAGTTCATTTCAAATGATGAACATGAATAACTTATGTTTACCTAGTTTTATGACTCATTTTCTTTTTGGTCTTCATTAAATATAGTTATCATGACTTAGTAGTTAAGTAGATAATATGATCAAGTTTAAAATGAACGGTATTAGGTTCGAGTCCAACTCTGAGATGTAGATACATTCAGTTGACGAGTTCCAAAAAAGGACGAAACGCGTATCCTAGATTAAACAGCTAGCCACTGTTCATCTTTGTTTAGAATGCTTATGACTAAATGCAATATCGAGGCAATCCATACAATATATGCACAAATGCCAATAACAAACTGATCAAATGCAATTGTAAACATCAATGGGAAGAGTCAAGTAAACAATATGAAGTGAATTTAAACTTCATCTCATTGCACAAGCAAGTGGCTATCAGGACTCATTAGTTAAGTAGATAATGCAATAATATTTGAAGCGAAAGATATCGGGTTCAAGTTCGAGAGTGAATATCAACTCTGAGATATAGGTACATCCAACTGACGAGCTCAAAACTAGGACGAAACGCGTAACCTGAATTGTACTGTTAGCAACTATTCATCTTTGCTTATTACGATTTTAAGAATTAAGGCATTATCAAGGCAATCCATATAGCTAATTACAGTCCTAAACATCAATGGATAGTCTCAAATAAACAATACCAAATGAATTTAGATATATATTATAGTTATAGTTCATCTACATAATCATATATTAAAATAAGGTTAACAATCTAATTGAAGTGTTTACAATCATCTCTTATCCATTCTATTTAATTTCCTGTATATATATTTCTATATACATATACATATACATTTCTCATTATTCTCATATGAATTGTTCACTATTAAGCCCTTGATTTGACATAATGTTCACTCTTAAATATTATTAAGTAGTATATCAAGTTAATAAAAATAATGATTTAGTATTTTAATCAATAAATGATTGTACATGATTATAATGATTATGGCTAGGGTTCAAGTATACTTATAGATGGAAACACTTGAAATTATATCCATCCGTTTAATGGTTAAAAGTTAGATATAAATGTATATTCAAATGTTCATTATAAGATAAAATTCTAAAATATAACTAAGATGTAAATATAGATCATTTCATTAGTTGTTTAAGACAGAATGCAAGATGCAGGATGCCGGCTAAGTGGTCTGGTGGTTAAGTGCTCGCGCGCGAAACCAGTAGGTCCTGGGTACGGATCTCGCAGGGGACGAGGTTGTTGAGGCACACTGCTGAGGAGTTCCACAATGGGACGAAACGGCCATCCAGTACTTCCAGGTTTTCCATGGTGGTCTAGCTTCAATTGACTCATGATCTTAACCGTTGAAATCACTATAATATTCACAAAACCCATCTGATATTAAGACAGAATAGTAAAATTATAATTTATGGATGAACTTTGAATGATGCTAGACTGACTTTAAAATTGTCCACTTACATACTAGAGTTAAATGAGGTTCATAAAGTTATATGAAGAGTAAGAACTATGATTTATAGTTGACATCATTTGTAATACCAAAATGGTATTGTGTCACATGGATAAGTGAACTGAATCCGAGATCTGTTATGTCTTACCTGATTGGTTTGTTATTAAATGATACTCTAGTCAACGGAACTTATTCAGTTTTGATTATTATTAAGCACATTAGAGAATATGAACCTATTAAGTGTAGAAATATTTCATTTAAATTACTGTATAATGTTAGTAAGGATTATACAACTGAAAAACACTCTATTATGAAATATCTCAAAGCTTAA